GATCCCATCTCAAAGAAACAAACAAGTCAAAAGCAAATGAGCAAACTGATTTAACCTGTAGGATGACAGTGTACAGGTCTGCTTGTGAGGTTTCTGAGGGCATGCTCCTCTCACAGACGATAACTATCCCGGAGAGAATCCCAGCCTCTACCTAAATAAATAGGTAGGTAGATAGCAATACAGACTAGTGTGGTCACAGACCTGTTGAGTGCTGTGGAACTCAGATAAAAGAGCTAACATCTCTAAGGGCTTAAGGAGAAGGAGGCCCTTAATCCCATTTCATATATTTACTCACTTTCTCAGAATCTTTCCCAAAGAGCACAGCATATAGCTAAAAAAGGGAAGCAACAACAAAACCCAAACCAAACCAAAAACAACAGAAACCCCAACCAAATAGTCAGTGTTGCTATCTAAGAATGTAAATCAAGATACTTTCCACGTTTTTTACATTTATGTATTTTGTGTGTATGTGTGTAGGAGGGTATTGTGTGCCGTGGAACATGCGTGGAGATCATGGGGACACTTAAGAGAGACCACGCTATCCTTCCTTCCACTATGTGTGTTCGAGGGAAGTAAACTCAGCCCATCAGGTTTGGTGGCATGTACCTTTATCTGCATCTCCCTGGTCCACATACCTGTTTTTACTACATTAGACTAGTTGTCTATAAATTAATAACACTATATTGTTTGTATTTTTAATGTCAGTACTCAGGGCAAGCCACAGATGGGGGATACGGATTTCAGAAATCTTTCTACTGTCATCATGGCTCAGAACGTCTTCAGAGAAATGAAAACAATATTGTAATAGACAGAAAGGCCTGCACTTTCAAAGAAGCCCTTGGAGCCACATTTAACTATAGCTTCTAAATAAATTGAGTCATAAATTTAAATAAAAACACATACTATTATTCGTTATATTGGCAAAAAATCACAGATTTGTACAATAGAAGAAAGGGGTCAATTAATGGAGACCCCCCCCAGGAGAGCAGAGACCCAGAGGCAGATTTCGATTTAAGCATTTCTGTGTCCACTGATTTCTCTCTCACTTCTTGAATAGCTTTCTATAAAACACCAACTGTCTGTTAAAAAGACGAAAATCTCAGTACTTGTTAAACTACAGAAAGGTTCTCGGATTATGTGTGGTGTCCTTTCATCTTTCCTGCCTCTAGGGGGAAGTGTGTTTTCAACAATTCTGCCTCCAGAAGTATGTTCTTGTGGGTTAAGGCTTCCCTGTGGTAGTCTTTAGTGGGACTTCAGGACTGGTTGGACAAGAAGGAGGGACCTTTGAAACTCTGCAAGGACCCTCACTTTACAGGTCTTAGCCAGGGTTCTGAGGCAGGGGGATTATAGAGAAAAAGCCCCAGGCATTTTTTTTAAAGCTACATTTCCAAGAATTGTGGTAACTTCTCCACCTGGTAGTCTTTCTTGGCGATAGCTGCAAAACATCTGGACAAAAATTTCACTCAACAGAACTAGAAACAAAACAGCTCTCGGATATTGAGGAAAGCATTTCTAAATTCTATAAAAGCCTCCGAGTTTCCGAAATACTACATTCAACACCGACATGTTTGGGCTTATAACTGGCCAATCTTTTTCTTTGTTTGTTTTCTTTGACAATTGAAGTAGATAATTGAATTCTGAATGTGGAAAGCTATGGCCTCCTCCCTGAAAGGAACAATATTTAAAACCTGAGTTCAAGGCTCTTTCTGTTTTTTCTCACTTCCTTCCTTTCTCCCTTTCTCTTTTCCTTGTTTTGCTAGTATTTCTGTTAAAATATTACAAAGGTTATATCAAGTGCTATTATTTTCAGTTTTGCTTTTCTGGAAAGCCTGAAAATTTGTTTTTATATAAGAGTATGTGTATGAGTGTGTGTCTGTGTTTCTGTGTGTATGTGTGAATGTGTATGTGAATCTGTGTATGTGTGTGAGAGACTGTGTGTGTGAGTATGTGTATGAAAGTGTGTGTGTGCGTGAACTGTGTGTGTGTGTGTTACTAGGCACTGAATTTATCATAGACAAATTCCACTGAGTTGTAGCCCCAGCCCTCTTTTCTTGTCTTTTTCTTAAAACCTTTTATTTGGTGACAGTACCTTATAAAATTAAATTCTCTAGGTTGGCCCTGAATCACTCTATAGCCCAGGCAGCCTTAGAATTCGATATCCTTTCCAGGAGCTGGCCTTTCAGGCCTGGGTCACCAGGTCCAGTTATCAGTGTGATACAAAGAATATCACTTCCTGTGGGAATCAGCTTGGTTACCGATCCTGTTCTACATAGCATTACAGGTGATCTTTCCCAATAAAAAATGTCCGCAGGGGACAAAGAGGTATTTGAACATCATGTATGCTCTTTGGGCCATGGTTCTTCAACTGTAGAAGCAGAGATGCCTTTTCCGGCTTAAGATGGCAAAACTACGTGGTAGTTTCAGCTGGCTGCCTAAAGAACCCTTCGATGGACAGCCAACAAAATCGTCCTAACGCAAACCCATAGACTTGTGTTACTGTTTATAGTCTCGTTCTTGTTTGTGTTTGAAGGCTTATTTATTTATTTTAACTCCCAACTTCTGTTCATTTGAAACCTGCATGGATTTGTTAAGCACAAGGGCAGCAACATTGTGACCCCCTCCCCGCTGTTTCTGGGCAGTTCCACAGCTTCCTCCTGGCTGGAAGCTGAGCACTCCTACCCAAAGACCACAAGGAGGCCATGGTACTAGCCATGACGTAATCCTACTGCCCTGCTGCTGACCCAAGGGCGAGGCCTGAGATGCGAGAGGCACTCACACTGGGTGCCACTGAAACCTCAGACTATCCTAGTGAGCCCACACCACACACTGCAGAATCATATCGCCATTGGCCCGCGTTCCCCAGACACAGGGCATACCGTTTGGTAACAGGAAACCTTGGTTCTTCATGTCTCCTGGCAACCAGTTGAAATCCACTAAGACCCTTGGAATCCAGGATTTAGCTGTTGTCTTTTTTTTTTTCTTAAATAACTATGAGCCTATAAACAAATGTTTGCTTTCCCAAGAGTTCAGGAAGGATTTAATTGTTGTGAAGCGCTAAATATCAGTTTCCAATGTGCGTAGATAATTCTTCAGAATTAAATTTTATATAGAAGCCTCTTTTACTACTGGTTAGCAGCTCTAATTAAATTAACAAAACTTCACCCAGGATTTAGAAAGTCATACTTAGAGCAAAGTTTTAGGGACCACAGTGCAGAACTAATATCTCAATGGCTCTGGGCATGAAAAGTATTCCAGAATTACATTTTCACTTCTAGGAAGGACGGTGGAGAGAGTTTTGATGCCAGGAGTTGCCATGTCCCCGAACGCCTCAATTTGCCATTTCGTGGTCACAGACGAGAGCAAAGACTTTTTGGAGTCTCAGAATAAAAAAAAAACAAAAAAAACAAAACAAACAAAACAAAAAAAAAAAAAAAAAAACGTCCTGGGCAGTGAAGAATCGCGTGCAAGTTTCTGCCGAAAGAGGGCGTACGTTTTAGACTAATAGAATTCCTGCACGCACGGACGCCCAGCTAAATGAAAGAACATTTTAAACATTTTAAAATTAACTTTCATTTGCGGGATTTTAGTGTCAGAACTACCTTGTGCAACAGCCTGTTCCCATTGCAAATGTCTTTGCTGCGTGACCATGAAAAAAGGGTTCAGGCCCTTTGGACCTGCGCAGCTGCGCGGTCCTGCGCGCAGCGCCTCGGGTCTCGGACACCCCACAAGCGTTTCCACTCTGTCTGCATTGCTGTGGTAGTTGTGACTAGTGGGAAAACTGGGTCTCTCAGGCAGGACCTTTCTGGCCATCCCAGAATCTCAGAAATTCTGGAGCAGAAGCGGCTGGATCTCCCAGCACTGGGGTTGGAGCAGACTGCTGTTCGCACTTAGGGATTCTCTGGGGAAGATTTTCTTTTCTTCTTCTTCTTCTTCTTCTTCTTCTTCTTCTTCTTCTTCTTCTTCTTCTTCTTCTCCTTCTCCTTCTCCTTCTCCTTCTCCTTCTCCTTCTCCTTCTCCTTCTCCTTCTCCTTCTCCTTCTCCTTCTTCTTCTTCTTCTTCTTCTTCTTCTTCTTCTTTTTTCCCCGTGGGGCTTAGTAAACAGAACTTTTGGGGGATGCTTTTCAAGCTCCGTGACACTTCCTGGAATGGAATCATTTACCTACCATTGGAAGCAACAAGTTTCGCTTTCCTGGCCTCGGTGACCCTGCAGAGGGGTCTGTGCCCCGAGACAAGGCGACGACTGCAGCCGCTGTGATTCTAGCATGCCCCAGCAGCCCGGAGGAAGGGGAGCCACGCCGGGTGGGGGAAGGACGGGTTCGGAAACCGCCCAGGCCAGATGGGCATACTAGGTCCGCAAATGAATCTTCTGGCACTGGGACCTTGTTCCTTGTTCTCCGACCTTGCTCCGGGAATCTGGAAGGTCAGGTGCGGGACAGGACTGGCCGCGTCCAGACAGAACGAGGCGGAAGCGAGAAAAGAGGTGAGAGCGAGTGAGACCTATGGAAATTTGCGCCGAAGCCACCAATTTGGAGACACCCCCACCCCCTTTTGCAGCGTGTGTGTCTGCGTGTGCGTTTGTGCATGTGTGCGCGCGCATTTCTTTCAAATATCTATCTATACTTTTTTTTTTTTTTTAATGGGGGCTAGAGAGAGTGGAGCCAGAGAGAGGCGGGGACCTTAGAGTCGCGCCGCGCCGCGCCGCGAAGGCTCCCGCGGGTGTAGACGTGGGCGGCTGCGGCTTTGGGCCAAAGCTGAGCACCGGCAAGGAGTGGGGCTTAGGGACCGGGCAACCGCGAGTAGGCCAGGGGTGCGGGGAGGAGCCCTGATGTAAGAATGTTAATGAGAGGCTCTCCCAGCCCAACCCCCACCCCACCCCACCCCCACCCACCCCACCCGCTGCAGAGACAAGCCCGGCCTCGGCTCGCCATGTGTGGTAACGCGCTCCGCCGCTGCCACGCTATTTAAACACCGGCTATGGATCCAGGAACCCGCGCGAATCAATGGGATCAAACGCGAAGGAGGTGCACCGTCAATTACAAGCACCTGGACAAGTCTAACTTTTTTTTTCTTTTACAAATAACGCCTTCAAACGCAACCTTAGCAACGCCCAAATAGAAAGCCACCTCTAAGTCTATGTGCAAAGGGAGGGAGAATCTATATATTTATAATAACTCTATATGTATATTACAGACGCACAGGTTTACATTTGGTGAACTTTTCTTTTTCTTTCTTTGCTTTTTTTTTTTTTTTGAAAACCTAGGGACACTGAAGAGGAGTCTTCCTCTTTCTTTTGGCGCTTTACTCAAGGGGATATTCTGTTTTCTCGGAGCGCCCAAGGGGGCGCAGGGACAGAGAAGAGAGAAGAGTGGGGAGGAAAGAGGCAGGGTGGGCGGGGGGCAGAGCGCGAGCGGGCAGCCTAGGCGAGGGCTTGCTGGCAACACGATGCAGTCCCTGCTGCTGCTTACTTTCTCGGCGTGCGTGCTGCTGGCTCGGGCGAGGCTGGCTGGCGGCGCGAGTGGTGGCGGTAGGGACAACGGGCCAGGCAGCGGGCGCCGGCAGAGAGAGGCGCTGGCGGCTCAAAAGATCGAGGTGCTTGTGCTGTTGCCCCGGGACGATTCGTACTTGTTCTCCCTGGCCCGGGTGAAGCCGGCCATCGAGTACGCTCTGCGTAGCGTGGAGGGCAACGGCACCGGGAGGAGGCTATTGCCTCCCGGCACTCGCTTCCAGGTGGCCTACGAAGATTCGGACTGTGGCAATCGTGCGCTCTTCAGCCTGGTGGATCGCGTGGCGGCGGCGCGCGGAGCCAAGCCGGACCTCATCCTGGGGCCGGTGTGCGAGTACGCGGCAGCGCCGGTGGCCCGGCTGGCGTCGCACTGGGACCTGCCGATGTTGTCTGCAGGAGCTCTGGCTGCCGGCTTCCAGCACAAGGACACGGAGTACTCGCACCTCACGCGCGTGGCGCCTGCCTATGCCAAGATGGGCGAGATGATGCTCGCCCTGTTCCGCCACCACCACTGGAGCCGAGCTGCCCTGGTCTACAGCGACGACAAACTCGAGAGGAATTGCTACTTTACCCTAGAGGGGGTCCACGAGGTTTTCCAGGAGGAGGGTTTGCACACGTCTGCCTACAATTTCGACGAGACCAAAGACTTGGACCTGGACGACATCGTGCGCTACATTCAGAGCAGTGAGCGAGGTGAGCAGGAGCGCCACCCGGGTCCTTGGCTATGTCCCAGTGGTTCTAGGTGGTTTTCCCCAAACCCCATCAACTCAGCCTTCTGCAGATCTCACCCTCCCCCGAAACCCGAGGACCAGAGGAGGTTGTACGCGGGGACTTGTTCAGGTGTGAGCTGCCTGACCCAGGGGCGGGTTGATGGTAGCCCTTCGCGGTGGAAGGGGTGTGCCTAGAGAGTCCTGGGGAAGTGGATCTGGCCGAGGGAACGTTCGAGCCTACTGCTAGCGCTGTCCGAAGTATGACAGGTGTTGTCAAACACCAAGGATTTTCCCTCTTCGACCGTTCCGGGGTCCCAAGCGTTCAAGGAACTTGTTACTCTGTCCATTGCTGTCGCGCGCCCCCCTTATAGGGCGACGCCTAGCAGTGGCGCGCAGCTCATTGACTACCTGGGGGTCCCCTGGCTTCCCTGGCTGGTCTTTCCCCAGACCCCAGATCGCCTTTAAAGGCTCTTTGTGTTACTCTTCCAAGCCCCCTCTAGTCTCATATAAACAAGCTTCTGTGGTTTCCACCAAAGTGCGTCGCTGTGTCTGGACTCCGGCGACACTCACTTCCCCCGGGCGCGTTGGCTTCCCAGACTCTGAAAGAGCGCAGAGCTGGGCTTGACCCGAGCATGCGCAGGATCCTGTGCGGAGCCTCCTTCCCACGGGTCTTCTCTCGGGGTTTTTCTCCCCGAGTAACAGAGGGCTTGGAACAATAGCCAAATGAGAGAGAGAGAGAGAGAGAGAGAGAGAGAGAGAGAGAGAGAGAGAGAGAGAGAGAGAGAGAGAGAGACAGAGAGAGAGAGAGACAGAGAGAGAGAGAGAGAGACAGAGAGAGAGTTCAGTATGGGGGTTGCGACCATGGCTACTGGGTGCGTGTGAAGCTACTGCCCACCTTTCTGTTGTGTAGATAGCTGAAGGAGGCGGAATCTCCACATAGGGCAGTGAGTCGGGGTGTCCTGTTTGGGGTTCACAACATTCTGGAAATCCCGCCTCTGCTTTCCCTTGGTGCGCAGGCGCTCGGAATATCCGCGGCATTTCCCCTTTCCCCCCTCCCCGCAAAGCTTCGGATGTCCCGGGTTGCTGTCCGGGTGAGACCCAGGGGGACCCGAGCCAGCAAGGCATCAGGCTTGTCCGCAGTTCGGACGCCGGGGACCTGTGCCTGCCTGTTGCGGAACAGCGCAGCATGAAGCTTTGGGACTCAGAACAGGTGAGGTGGGCAGGAAAAGCTTCCTGAGTGGCGCCACAGCGGCCTCTCTCTCCTACTTGGCCACTCTGAACTCGAGTGAGCATGCCCTGTAAAGTGAAGAGGTGTTGTAGATAGTGTGGACAGGACAAGTTTGACCATAAGAACTCCAGGCTTCTGCACAGAATCACTGTTAAGTGCCCCGGCAGAGGACTGGTTATGTAAAAGGAAAGAAAGTTCTGTCCCATGGTGGCAGATTTGTCCCTTCTGGGCGAGAAACCCACATCTGCTTTCCTTCCACTCTCAGTCCTCAGGCTACTGCAGCCTCTTGCGGTGCTGGCACTAAAAACCTGGAGACGACCCAGGGCAGGCGGGGAATGGGGGTGTGTCCCCCTCCTGGCTAGATCCCAGGTTTGCAAACCCTGTCATTGCCTTGTTGAACCGAGTGAGGTGGTGACCTTGGCACAGTGGCCTCCTGGGATGAGAAGCCTGGCAGATCCGTCTGTCTGCTGTGTGGCCCCGGAGCTGCACTGGGCTCTAGGAGCCATGGTGCTGGAAGGGCTAGAGAGAGAGCGCGTGCTCAGGAACTGGTGTGTCCTGGTTTAAAGGCAGCTTGTATGCTGCCCCTGTTACTGTTTTTAAATACACTCAGATCTCTTCCCTCTCCGCCATCCAGTTTAGCGGTGAAAGTTTGCTAGACAGGTGTGTGCCATCTTACAGGTGATAAGGTTATGATCTTACGGAGGATTCTTTCTCTAAAACCTGTCTCCAACAGTGATATGGCAGACTTTCCAAAATATAAAGAAAAATATTTTTTAGGCTGCTCTCCTTTCAATTTCCTACTCTTTGTAGAGAAAGTTAAGGCTGTCAGGATGTTTCCTGTGGATCTGAAGCTTTACTTCACTGGGATAGCCAAGGTGTTAAGTAGAGCTTTAGTGTATGCTGTCAGTAGAGTTTGGGGCTCAGCCACATGCTAGCTGGCAGGATCCTGGGCTGTTAATCTGTATCCCAGGCTCGCTCTTGAGGTAAAGCAGGCTTCTGTAACAGCCACATCTTGGGGATGCTGGGAAGGTTTAAGGAGCTAAGCCCCCAGAATGCACTGAAACAACACCGATCTGGGCAATAAATGGTGGCTTCACTGTAGTGGGTGCTGTTTTCTGTATGATAACAATCGCCTTCACCCGAAGGGGAAGCCACGTCCTGGGGTCCTGGGAAGCACTCCTGGCTGAGAAGCACAATCCTCAGGATGCAGCTCCTCCACTTTGCAAGGCACTGAATTCGGAACTTGTTTCTTCTGTGAAGCGAGGAGCTGGATGAGAATCAGGGCTTTTCCAGTTGATGTCTGAGGTCTGGAGTGTATTTACCCAAATGTAAAAACGAAGCCGATAGCATTCTGCCACAGAGCATCTTCTGTCCTTGGGAACCCTTCCCACCTCCTCTTTTGGAAAGAACATTTTAACTTTAAAATCAAATTATGGATATCTGAGTATCTTCACTGTTAAAAAGTGACCTGTGACCATTTCAGTAATATTGCAATTAGTTTTTTTCTGGCTACATGATGCCCTTTAGAAAGGAAAATGAAAAACCAACCAACCAACCAACCAAACATACCCTCCCCCAATTCAAATAATTCTTATCTCCTAGGGTGTACCACCTAAGTCAATAATTGAAAAACTTTAAAAAGTCTAATATACTTAAAATAGATATACCTGGGCAAGTGTGATTTAGTGTTCTTATAGCATTCACTTATACTAGTGGCTAAGGTAATGACACAGAGTTAATCTCAGCTCCCAGGCTTGAGACAATAGAAAGTTTATCAATGCTAGCTGCAGGCAGCTTCGAGAAGTAGGGAGCGGGAGATGAGATTTTACAAGGAGCTGTTTGATTATGTATTGCATTTATTACAAGATAGTGGCCAATTTTTGATATACATGGGGGTGGCAGAGAACAATGGACAGTAAATTTTGAATATCCAAGTCTTTTTGTAAAGTTTCTGTGTTTAATTCCAGATAAAAATTTGAGTGGAAAGGAGACATTATTGTTTTTTTTTTTCCACCAGAAATTCCAACAGAGACTGGACAAGATGATACATTGGGCAGGAGGCTAAGTCTTGTTAGCCTTTTCCACTCAGGATTTGTCTGTTCCAGCTACTAAGAATATTCTAAAAAACACTTTAGGAAATAGATGTTTGTGGCATATACACACACAGAGACACACACACACATTCACATACACAAACGAGATTTTAGATGGGTGTGCAGTACGTGTCTGTAATCCCAGCATTCAGAAAACTGAGTCAAAAGGATTCTGAGTTCAAGGTCAACCAGGGTTATAGAATGTGCCCTGCTGTCCCAAAGTATAAACAAACAACAGACATGCTTTTTATTTATTACTGGATTCATTTATGCAGCTGACTTCTGACCTCGATATATCAGATGAAATGATACACTTACTATAAAAAGGACAGAGAGAAATACATTGTTTCAAGCAATGAAAGGTTATAGTTCTTTTGTTTATGTTGTTCGGAGATGCAGAACTTGAAGTGATCTACACACTGTGGTTTTGCATGAAAACTAGTCTTAGTCTTTTAGTTATGGCTATGTTATTTATTTGGGCCTGGATAGTGAGTACAGAGGTAGAAATAGTTAATGAATACAAGAATAACTTATTTTTAGTAGTCTGGTGTAAATGACCAAATAATTTGTCAGCAGAATTTTTAAGCCAAGAACCCATCATAAAGCTACCTAGCACACAGTAGCAGGATAGAAAAGTACCGCAGTCCACAGTGCAGAAAACACAAGAGCCCCTGGGTGGCTACAGCTTCGCAAACAGGAGAAATAAGGGTGTGGTCTGTCTTTTGTAAACAGCATCCCTTGCTTTGTAATGTAGAAGCAGAAAAACCTGCCTTAGGAAGAAATTAGATTTTTATTTTCATCCAAATTAGGTACATATCTATGTAAGACCAGAAAATGACTTGTCTTATCAGGAGAAAGTCTCTTGTCACTCCTCCCTGTCTCGGACTTACCAGAGGCCTCATTTCTGACTCTTGTGGATGTTCATAGCAATTTGACTTTGGAACTCCTAATAATAAGCTACTTTTGATTTTTTTCTTTGGTTTTAGGTTTTGTCTCTTGGAATGCCAGTGGAGAACGGCGGAGTTCTCTGCTAGCATCTACTATCTGCTAACTACACATGCAAGAGTCTCCCTTGTTCATTCTTCTGATGCATCTTGTCAGCATTTTTTGCGGAGCTCTGTAGTCAGAACTGATATTTATATTACCTTCTAAATGTTGTTCACAGTTGATCCACTTGGGGCCATGTTAAAAAAAAAAGCCCCTTTGTTTGTTTCGTCTCCTATGGACTGAGGCTGACATCGTCTGTAAATTCTCCACTCCAGGCTCCTGACCTCTTTCAGCTTAGTCATTTTCCTGGCATCCTGTGCTATTATCCTTCTGAGCTCTCTATTTAGTGTCTTCCCAAGGCTTCTGTCACCTATCATTTTGAGCCTGGTCCCTGTGTGCCCTCCTTTCTTGATTGATGCTCTTGTTTTGGTGGACCACGTCTTCCAGGGCATTTCTGACCAAGGATGGATGAGAGATGCATTTTGAAATGTTTCACGGTTGAAATTTTATTCATTTTTGCCCTCATAGATAATGGTAAAATCCATGCTATACATAACCTTCCTCCTCAAAATTTGATAGAATGACCCCATTGTCTTCTGGGTTCTGAAGTTGCTGTTCGTTTGAATTGATTTACACTCCAGACTTAGTGTTTATAATTCCCCACCCAGGAAAATC